ACGTGAACATGAGGCCTCTCTGTGGCCATACAGAGTAACAAACGTGAACATGAGGCCTCTCTGTGGCCATACAGAGTAACAAGTGTTACTGTTCATTTGCATATATTCTGTTAGATTGGCCCATTGGTAGGATTCGAGCCTCTTTTTCAGTTATATTTGTGCAGATTGGGATTTTTTTCTGTCCTAGATGTACCTTTTACATTTACTCTAAACATCACCATAAGAGCCAGAAATGCATTTTCTGTGACCTGTGTCAAAGTGGCAGTGTGTTCCGCCCCACAGGAAATGTAGATCGTCTTCTTCCCATGCAAAGATCTCACTGGAACAGGACTATTGCGATCTGTATGAACAAACAGAAATACACAGTACAGTGTGCAGTGGTAACTATAATAATTCTTTAAAAGCAGTTCAAGTTCATTAACATTCAGTTAATAATTGATTTAAAACAGTTACATTAAAAACACATGACCTTGGCCCTCGCTGCCTAAATAGACAGAACAGATTTTAAAGATTCACCAGTCATATCTCCCAGGCCCAGCTGCCCCCTGCGGTTGCTCCCCCAGCTGAACACGGTTCCTGAGACAGACAGGGCCACACTGTGGTCACCTCCAGCAGCTATTTGAGCCAGGGGGATCCCTGCCAGTGCCAGCTGAGACTGGGGCCTTGTACTGGGTTTTGTGTTCCCAAGACCCAGCTGACCACTGGAGTTGCACCCCCAGGTGAAGATCTGTCCATCTGGATGCAGTCAGAGGATAGAGAGCAATCTCGGTTATTCTCTTGACTGCTGACTTGCTAAAATCTGCTATTTTCCACATGCTGTGCCATCCCGCCATTACCTTGCATAAGGAGTACAGAGTGATTGTCTCCACAGGCAACCTGTACCACCTTCTGGTTGCTGAGATGCTCACGCCTAAAAACACAGTCAAGAAGCTGAGATTAGTTTGATTAAATTGATGATCATCATGATTGTGATCGGGGGCGCCGTACAGGGGGAAATATTAGGACAATTCCAAGGGCCCCTGAGTGACAGGGGTCCTATAAAACGTGGTCTGGGTTGGGGGTCCAATATCGTATGGCTTCATAGGGCCCAAAATCTGTAATGGCACCCCCATTGTTGGTGTTGTTATTATTATTATTATTATTGTTATTATTATTATGTAACACTACTGGCATAAATTAAAGTTAATGACTAATGTTAAACAGCAGTGCTCAGGTGTATTTGCTTGGAATGATATCCATGTACCTGGGGTTGCTGTTTGGCTGCCCACAGTCCAGCTGGTATATTTTGCCCTTCGCTGTGACCACAACAACATGACAGGCACCACAGTGCAGCGTGTGTATCTTCTCCTTCAGATGGAAGGACTCTGCAGAGAAAACACACAGATGTTCATGTGGCGTAAAGTGTAACAGGCCTGCTGTCATGCCCAGCTCGTCCGCTCCTTTTGTGTGCCACGCCCCCTCATCTATCTCATGTGGAATCCTCGTGTTTACCAGCTGTTTCCTCCACATCCTGGAGGAGATGTCCCTGCCTGGAGACGTGCACCTGGCCGATGCGGTGCATGAAAACCTATGGCAGCTGAGAAGAGGGTCAGCGGAGTCGATGATGTGGCAGGTAGCCCTGGACAGTGGACTGCCCTATGGTCCACTGTTGGAGCTACCTGAGGTGCCCAAAGACTCTGGCGAAAGCTGCCGGGAGGAGAAAGCAGAAGAACCGAAGACGGCAGGAAGATGTGCTGGGGTCTTCCAAGGGGCTGTCTCAATCGCCGCTGCTTCCCTTGCTGGGTGCCGGGAGGAGCCCCTCCCGATTCTGAACCTGGGGGTGTTCATGCCTGACGTCACCGTTGCTGCTTTGCCCGAGCGGGTGCCCGAAGCCTGCATCACCGCCATTACACTGCCTACGTCCACAGAGCATCTTCCCGCCGCTTCACTGCCAGCACTGGCAGCTCGCCCCTTCCTGGGCACATGGCTGACCATGAAAGGGGCCAGGTCTGTTGGGGATGCTATCCTGCGGGTCCCCAAGATCCCCAAATGGGTGGCGCCCGCCGCCAAGGTGAAAACCCCAGCTCTGCCCCCCGAGGTTCCTGCTCCAGCGCCCACAACCCCCCTGGGCCCCGTCCCAGAGGAGGTCCTTGATCCCCCGGCTCCAATGGCCCCAGTCCTTGTCCCTGAGGAGGTGCTGGACTACTGGACCACTGCTCTTCCCCCCTTTGGCGGAGGAGGAGCTCGAATGAGACCCCTTGGGGATCACCCTGATGATTGCCCCACTGAACCCCTCCAGTGGGTCACCACAGCCACAACCCCAGCCTGGCAGTTCCCAGCCTGGACCTCGGCTCTCGGTGTTCCACCTTTGGTCCCCCTGGCTATGCTTTGCCGGTCGCCAGCAGGTCCTCCAGCTCTGGCTCAACAGTCGCCTGCGGTTCCCCTGCAGTGCCTCGTTGAGCGGCTGCTGTCCCTCCTCCAACTCCTCGCCGGTCACCTGCGTGCCCCCCGGTTTAGGCTCATCGGTCGCCTGTGCCTTGACCCGCTGTGGCTGTGCCTTCACCTGTGGCAGCTTCTCCTTCCTCCTCCATTGTCCCCTTCACTTCCCTCTTCGCCTCCTCTGTCAGTCCCTTCACCTTCCTCCTCGCCCCCTTCGGTGTCCCCTCCAGCACCTGCCTCGCAGTTGCCGAGGGCCCCTTCAGCTCTGGCCTCGCGGTCACCTGCGCCCCCTGTGGCTCCTGCTTTCCGCAGCCTAGATCTCAGTCACATAATAAATTCAGCCAAAGTCTGTGATACTTCTGTTGACATTCTGTTGGGTTTGAAAAATAAACAGCTTTCCTTTTGCTGTTTTATGAGGGGAAAAAAAACCCATTTTTATTAAAAACAACATAGTTTGTATATAACTAGAATAGTAGTTTTTCTTAAAATTTAAATGAATTCTCATCGGCTCCTTAGAAAAAATTGTTTAACATAGTACAAAATATTGCATTATGACCAGTACCAAAGCACAACTATTATATTTATTGGCAAACGTTTATTTAAATTAGGCAATTGTACAACTATTGCAACTTCACATTATATTATTGTCTTCACAATGTAATTAAAAATATTTTTGTTTTTTAATTAAAAATTACTGACTTCGTCATACGTTTACATAATTTTGAGGTATGTATTAATATATCATATATATATATAGTGTAATACACGGTAAGAAAGTTCAAATTGGCTCTTTTTAGGCACACTAGACTAGATCTATGTTGGTACACTGAACTCTAGATAATGTTATTAAAATGATGTTATTACTTCGCACATCTTGGATATAACAAATACGTTTGGTTAATAAACTAATAAATATTTTTATTAGATTATGACTTAAAAGTTTCCGTACAAACATTTAAATGCTGACATTATTAAAGTACAATATTTCACGGCATAAATATGGCACAAGAAAATAATTATTAAAAGTACATATTAGCTATAGTCTGATGTCTCACAATATAATAGCATATACAGTAGCACTATATTTATTTACACATATATGTACAACGGTATTGTTCAGGTTTGAGACGGACTCTATCGTTTAAACGGAACTTAGGTATTGGGGTTTGGGAAGAAAGTCAGGACACCTGCGATAAGGAATCTTCCTTTATTGATAACGGTTCATTGGAGCAGGTTCATTTGATTTTTCTG